TAACCAGATTATGTGAGGTTTAGGGAGGAAAGTAAACTTCCATATATAATGATAAGATTACTTTTTTGGGGGGGGATGAGGGGGCAATGAGCAAAGGATTTTACATGATTAAATTGAGATTTCACACGTTTCTGTTTCTGTCTTCTTTTCATGTCTAGGGTGTCAATTTAGGGCATGTTTCATGGTGCCAACTAAGTTTTTCCCAAGCTATGGCACTGAAATCTCATACTGGCAAAGATTTTACAGCTTCAAATCCCTGACTGGGGGGGGCACAGCCAGGTCAAAATTGAGGTGTGAATCATGGCCTGTGGCTTGTCAGCCCAGAGCTGCTGTGTGGCCCCAAGAAAACTACTACACGTCAACTCAAACATCTACTTTCACAAACACCCAGATAACCCACTGCTTCCCTATCCCTTATTAGTCCAACCCTCTCTGGCCTTTCTGGAGCTACTTGGGTACTTGGTTTCCCTTTGGCAGAGGGAAGGCAGCGTCACTTTTTCCTCCATCAGAGAAATGAACAAACAGCAAGGTAGAAGAGGGCAGCATCATGACTACCTTAGCTTTAGATTCTGACAATTTGGGGGTTTGAGTTTCTCACTTTATTAAACACATTTTCATGCACGTGTGACTACAAATGTATGTATCGGGCTCTGGTACTGGCACTGCAGCAGAGGATCAGGTGGTGAGGTGGGGGCTGAAGGAGTAAATATAGTTTCTGCCGTGTGATCATCTCTCCTCTGTTTATAAAGCCTTCAGCCTTTTCCTGAATTACCCCGTGGGTAGCTTAGTAACAGATATGATGGCCCATTCTTTAGCACACTTTAAAAAACCCTGGAAAATATACTGCCATTCTAGCAAGAAACAAACAAAACTAATGAGCCGAAGGTGTTGTCATGGAAGTGTTACTTACGAGCATGGAAGGGGCAGCTGCCCTTCACTGAGCTCTGCTGAACAGGCAGAGCATAAAGCAGAGCTCCCTGTCACGTACAGCCGGGAGGCTGCGGGCTCTGCAGACGCTGTTTGTGCAGATGAGTCCCCTGCCGCAGCGGGCGAGCAGTGCACCGGGGTCAGGGACATTAACACGCTCACAGACACGCCGGATGATCACTTGTAGTGGCCATTGCCTTGCAGAAGGCACATCAGGGGGAAGCTCGGCCGAGCTGGGTAACACTGAGCCTCTCCATTTGCATGCAGCACAGGAAAACAAGAAGCGCTCAGCTCCTGTTTAAAGGCAGCTACTGCTGCTTCGCTGGGAGCTTTGGCCTTTTCAGTGGGGAACCCAGGAGACAGGCTGTCAAAACAGAAGTCTCTTGTTCAAACTACCAAGCTTAGAAAAGGGGATAATGTAAATAAATAAATAAATAGATAAATAAATAAATAAATAAATAAATAAAGTTTAGAAAGGCTCAGATCAGTCAAACCAAAGAGAGTTGTTGTTTCTTGGTTGACTTATTTTTTTTCTTTTCTTTTCTGAAGTTATCTGGTTGTTTTGAGTTGGTTGAATATAGAAGCAAGAAATGTGGAGTTCACTTGAGGTCTTAAAGATAAATTCATAGTTCAGTTTTGCAAACAGACAAACAAATAAAAGTTGACTTACGCAGTGGAGATTTTATATTTCCTCATTGTACTTTCCCTGCTTTGTACAAATCTTCCTGGAAATCTCTGTAGTAACTCCTACTAACTGCTGTGATACCTACTGTGCAAGGCAGAACTGATCAACTGCAGAGAATCCTTCCAATTCCAACTCTTTTTTTTAAAACCATGTCAAATTCCTTCTCTTTAGTAATCCCCCTTATTCCCTTAGGAGCTGAAAGAAGATTTAATTGTTAAATTTGCATAGTAATTCAGCAAATAAACTCTCCAGTCTCATGTAGACCTTTAGTCATTGCAGGGTTCATTTTAGTTATAAATCACTTCCCTGTGGTCAGTCATGATGGCATTTCATACTCAGGAAGCTGGTGGCAGAGAAATAATTGAGGAACTGTCCATGTGGGGGCTTTTGCTTTAAGGGCTACTCTTTTATAATGTAACTTATTGCAAGATTATTTTTAGAATGGAGCTTTGCAGGTGGATTGTGTTTGCCCTTTCTCTACAACTATCCATGTCATAAAATAGTCCTGCCGCAAGGGGCTTCTGTCTGGTAGACCACTTGTAGCAATTCTGGATATGTGAAATAACCTAAATCCTAACAAAACATAGTAAATACAAATGTACCATCATTGTTGCTGGATTAAAACAAAATTTTGATTTTAAAGATCATTTGCAAGTATGGGAATTTGCACCGTTTCTGCAGGACATGAGCAAGGTGGAACATTTTTGGAATGAGCAGAAAACTCCAAGTTTCTAAACACAGTCCACAATACCTCATGCTAACATCTAGAGACTTTTAAAATCATGACACAAGGAGCTGGATTGCTAGGTTCACCTGTCCACAGGTATGGTGGCACAATTCAGTGGTACAGTTTTAGTATTTAGGATTTTGATGCTAAAACTGCTCACAATTCTCTTTGCACTTCTACTTGGCTTTACTGGATCTGTTTCCTGTGACAAAGCATCTTGAAAAACTACAATCTCAGTAATGAAGAGGAAACTCTACATTTGTCAGAAAGAGGGTGTAGCCTGGCTGAAGGTGTGTGGAGCTTCTACCTTTGATGGTAGCAAACTGAACTATGGAAAGTGTCCTTTCTCCATGAAAGTGAAGAGGCTGTGCAGTCTCCATGCTTTGAAGTTTTCAAGGTCCAACCAGAAAAAGCCCTGAGCAGCCTGGTCTGAGCTCATTGCAAACTTAACTTGCCTACTGAGAACTAATATACAAACTTTTATTTAAACAGCTTATTCAGGTTTCAGTAGTGTATTAAAAAGCATGTATTTAATTTCAGGAGGAAGCTGAATGCTTCAGATCCAGATCACATTTGGAAGAAGTCAGCCAAGGAGAGTAAACTCCTGACAACATCCACAGATCTGCTTACTGAGAAATAAATAAGTACAGGGATTCAGAAAAGTAACATAGCCCCTTCCATTAATTCTGCTTAAAGCACCCAGCACAGACAAGCTTACTTGTCTGTGGGACAAATAGGACTTGCATTGTTCCTCTACCCACCCACCAAGACTGAGCTGCATCTGCCTCTAAACATTGACCATGTCTGTCATCTCCTCTAGTTCAGACAAAACCTGAATTAAACAGTCAAATGCCTCTCTTTATCACAGATCTGTGCTGATCCCTGCTGAAAAGAGTTACAACAAAGTATATCCCACAGAAGACACTGGCTGAACTTCCCTTTTGAGGTGAAGAACAACATCTGCATAAATTGCTTGCAGCAAATGATGTATCACATGGATGGAATCTATGCTTGTTTCTAGTAAAGTATACCATCAAATATCTGAATAAATTAATTATTTTTGTATGAGACACAAACCCCATGTGTCACTGCCAAAATTTAAGAAAAATGTGTGCCTGTCATTCTGAAATTTAAGCTTCATGAACATCTGTGCCTTTAACTGATAAAGGAAATGTTGCAGAAGTAGGTCTGAAGAAGTAAAACTGCAGCTTATGATCCACAAAATGTTCTAGGGAAGTCCTCCTAAGGGAAAACATCTCAAATGTTCCTTGACTCTTCCCCTCAAAATCTACATGATGCTGCTGCTTGTGATGTGGTGCATGCTCTATTTCATTCTTGTAAAATTATCATCTTAAGGCAGCCCTGCTATAGTGAAGTGATGCTGGGTAGTATCTACCTGGTAATTCTCCTACAGCTGGTTCTGTTTTCAGAAGGCCTACAGGAGTGCAACAGATCTGAGCAATTAATCTCAGATACACATACCTTGAGATAGTTGTGGGAATCTTCTATACTTAGTTTTGAACTGTGACAACTTCTCCAGCCTTACCTTTCCTCCAGCCATACACCTGCACGCTTTTTTGTTGTTGCTGTTGGCATAGGAGATGTATAAGTTCTATACTGACTTTTTTAAACCCTCTCACTGTATATCTTTTACTTCCACTGGCAAAGAAAACAGCTGATTTCTCAATGTCAGCTGTTTGCACCAAGTTTATCATACTGAACTGTGTAATTACACTTTTGCATTCAACAATAGTCAGGACATATGTGACTCCCCACTATCTGTAAGGCAAGCCATTTAAGCCGTTTCTCAGGAGTTATGAAATCAAATGGGAATTTAGTTAACAAATGATTGGTTGTGTCCAATTCTTGCTCCCTAGGAAGAATTAAAAAATAAAAAAGTAGTTTTGCTTGTGATATGACTGTACATGAGCTTAACCAGGCAATTGTGAATGAGAGAAAACTACCAGCATTTCCTCCCACTGCAGCAGTGTTCTCGGGACTATGAGGAAATTTAGCTTCTTTGGATTTCAGAGCAATCACTTGCATGCACCATGACTTACAAATAGGTGGGATCTTGCAAGTAATACAACACAGAATTCCACATCTTTGTGTCATAAAAGTCACATTAAATTATCAGCCTAGTGCTTTCCGAGCATATTGTCTCACTGATCTTGAAAGAGCCATCTTGGTGTTGGGGGAGCAGTTATCTAGGTGATAATCAGTGCTGAGACCTCAGAGCAGCACAAAGAAATCTGAGAGCTATATAAACATTCAGCTGAAATTCCTTTACACAGACAATTTTCCCTCCACTATTCTTCTGAACTCCAAAAGAAGCATAAGCCCTGACTCAGGCAACGCGGAGTGTTTGCTCTGGCACCCAAGCCAGCAGATGTGACTACTTGGCATCCTTTCCCGAGACTTGAACCTCATGGTATGTCTATGCCAAATGTATCCACATTATGCAAGAGTAATGGAAATTCGCCAGGCAGAGCAATGCTATGTTTTCCTAGATAAATGTTGCTCAGTTTAATTTTGAGGAACTGACTGATAAAGGCCTCAGTGATTACCTTGTTTGCCTGTCTTCATTCTGTGAAATCCAGCACTTTTATTGGCACAGATAACATGAAAAACATGAGAGAACAAGTGCATTAGAGCAGCAAAAGAGGTCAAGCAAATCTTCTGGTGAAAGGTGAAGCGCCCACCCAAAAAAAATGGTTTCTTTTCTCCTTGGAAGATAAGCCAACTGCACAGAAAGACCACTAAGAATAGTTTCCCATCTGACATGGTTCAAGTGACTCAAGCTGCATGGTCACAGTGAGCTGTTCATTTCAGTTTTTTCTTTTCTTCAATTCCAGACAAAGCTCACCATGTAAAAATGCTGGGATGAAGGTAATTTGCCTTTGGCAGCACCTGAAAGGTGAGAAAGAAATGTAACAATTTGTTCTACACAATCTCTGCAGAATATAAAGGAGAAAATTAAACACAATTGAAAAAAAAAGTGCATAGGATTACCCAACTGAAAGACACGCTTTAAAATAAAAAGTCATCTTGATTATCATCACTTTGCCCTTCATTTGAACCAACTACTATTGCCTACAGCCACTGTACCACAGCAAGAAGTATGAAGTAAGCTTTTTGCTTCATACTCGCACACTTCTCATAAAAATATATTCCTGTTTCTGACTGTGGTCTGATCACACTCTCAAAAATGTAAGTGTAATTTTTTACCTTCAACAGACAAAGACACTTGCCACAACCTCACTCAATAGCATTCAACATGTTCCTGATATACACAAAGAGAGCATCCCAGACCAAGCAAAGAGTCAGGGACATGTGCAGGTAGCTACCATTCAGCTTTGAAGTTGAGGAAGGTTGTAGATCTCCCATAGAGTCTGTTTGAGGTGTAACAAAGCTGTTGTCACCCAACCACAGCCTGACAAAATGCCTGGAGCATGCAATGCCGTTTGTTGCAAGATCCTTCACTCTGCAGGGGAGAAATGCTATTGAAATTGGAAGAACACCTAAAGCAGCAGCAGGGGATTGCTGCTACACTATTAGTGCAATTGATTGCTTCAGTAAATAGCCAGAAGTAGCCATTACTTCCTAAGTTACTTCCACTGCAGTAATCAAGTTCTTGTTAACAAATTTCAACCATGAAGGAAATCCAAAAAGAAACTGCCTTCCAACCCTGGACTTCACCTTCAGAAGAACTGAGGAAGACACTGTGAATCACAGGGTTCCTGCAACTTATTATTCAGAGGCCAATGAAAAATTGAACCACTTTCACAGCACTTTGAAAGGTGTTTAAAAACTGTTGGCCTAGAAGGAAAATCCTGGAAACCATTCACTGTGGATGTCTTACCTAACCACTGGTCTGACATGCAATAAGCCATATCTATCCTGCAGGGACAGGAGCAAGGTGCTAATGTTTTCCAAAGCCCCACATGAAGAAGAGTAAGTGCACGGTAATGGCTGAGTGGATAGTTCACAGTGAATAACTTGCTCAATTAAAAAGTCTTTTTTTTATCTGCAGACATTGTTGTTTCTCAGTTATTCATTTGAAATTATTGTCTGAGTTATTTGTTGTCCACAGTAATTCATTGCAAGACTAATCAAAAGAATGCTAAAACTCAGAATACCAGACAGAGAGCAGATATTTCTTTTCCTTGATTAGCTAAATGAGACATTTTGAATCAAGTCTCTGCTTCAATATTTAGACACAGAAAATAGCCTTGCAAAAATACTGTGTGATATTTACTTAATTTACTTAAATTTACTTAAATGCTACTGTTTCAATAGCTGGTAGTAAATTCATTCAAAAATCTATTTGTGAAACTCAGCAGAAAAAACATGAATAATCAAACAAACTACTTAAATAATTTAAACACAGCATTATCTGAGGGTTAAATGTTTCCCAATTTGAAAACACAGTTGTCAGGTGCCTGCAGCAGAGTTTACAGGACATACCTTCAAATTCACACTAAAAGAGTGATTCACAGATACAAGCTAAAACTAATTCTACTACTTCTACACATACAAATTGGAAATGGTGAAATAAAGTATACCTTGACCACACTCATCAGGAGCAAAAGATCAGTGCTCCCAACTTCCCTGATGGACTGAGTTGCTCCTTTACCCCCTACAAATGTTCCCCAGGAAAAAAATAAATCAGTTGTGTCAAGCTACTAAGAATCCTGTCAGCATGTAACAACCAAAAAAATCTTATATATAATAAAAGAATATTGAAAATACATGTATAGACTTCGACTATTCTATATTGTTCAATAGTTCAGCTGGTGTATTAAAATGTATTTTGAGATGGTATTTGGTTATGTTCAATCTCTACTTGACACTTATAAGCAATTTAAGCGAATTAAAGTATTTCATATACTAGTTGTTATTCTTCCTGCTGAAGGAATAAACACATTCCACAGAAGGGAAATTATAGAGATGCAAGTTATATGGGGTGACAGGTATATGGAGCTAGGCAACATTCATGTTTCATTTTGCTAATGGATTGGGTTACAAACCTCTCCCTTAGTAAGAAGCGTATGGATAAAGTAGATACACACAGTCTTTGCTTTTTTACTGTAGTCCAACAGGATGCTTTGTAAGTTATTCTTACCAAGTGTCAAAATGAGTCTAAGTGACAGATTATGTATTTGCTTACCTACATTTAACACTGGCATTTCTCCATTCACTCACACTAGGGTAAATAAACTGAGGCTCTGGCTCCATATTCCCCCTTGTTTGATCTCACTCTAGATCAGTGATGCCAAGCCACCAGCACTGGCAAACAGAGATCTGGGCTGGCACCAATGACAATGAGCAAACAACACTTTCAAAACATGTTTGATGCCAGATAGCAAAGAGCACCCTCCCTACTTCAGGAGCTTGTTGCTAGAAAGGCTTTCAGCTCTGAAATCCACAAATATCTCTTCCATGCGGCTGGAAGGGCCAACGCATTGCTGTTTTCTGGGGCCCCCAAAAATAAGTCCATTATAGTTATCCCAAACATCGACACATAGGTGTTTCCTCCTGATCTAGTTGATGCAAAACAGTGTCTAAGAATGAGCAAACCTAGCTCAGTTAGTCACAAGAAGCACATCCGTACCAGCTACAATTCTCAGCTGGTTCAACCATCATTTCAAATCTTTCAGTTTTTAACAGGCAGGAATCTTCAGGAGGACGCAACTAAACAAAAGCAGGATGCAGCAAAAGAAAAGCACACCAAAGCCAGGCAGGGCGAGTGTGATAAGAAGAGAGAAAATTAAGGCATACACTCTCACTAAGCTGCTGCTACCAGGCTTTTGGTGGCACCTATCCGATTTATTTTTAGGTTTATTATTAGATTTATTACTAGTTTTAGATTGGATATTAGGAAAAATATTCTTCACTTAAAGGATTGTCAAGCACTGGAACAGGCTGCCCAGGGAGCTAGTGGGTTTCCCATCCCGGAAGAATTGTAAAAACATGAAGATGTGGAACCTGGGGACATGATCTAGTGGTGGACTTTGCAGTGCTGCATTAATTGTTGAACTTTATGATTAATTGTTGGACTAAAAGGCCCTTTCCAACCTAATCGAGTCTATGATTATATCCTCTCCTCTGCCACATGGCACTCCAGCCTGGCAGTGTAAGAAGGCCAGGGCAGACCCTCCAGAGGCAGTGATTATACCTCTAGTGCCTGATGCACCTGTATCGTGTTCCTGATGTTCCTGGAGCGATCGGTCCACTCTGGCTCCCCTGCTGGGGCTTGGACTCTCACTGAGTGCTGCCACGGGCTGCTTTACATCCCAACAGGGACGGCCAAGTCGTTTCCTCTTAAAATTACACCAGTCCCCACTCCCCACACAAGGGACCTCAAGAGGCTGTGGGGGCCGAGAGCGACGGGGCACTGGATTATCCGCAGGGCTGAAACACGAGGTGGCTCTCTGGGCTGGGAGGCGGCGGCGTTCGCTCGTCCCTACCGGCACCCACAGGTGAGCCCGCGTCAGCCCGAGTCTCTGCCCGCCCCGCACGGGCACAGGCGCCTCCGGCAGCGCCCGCGCCCCGGGCTCCGG